GTGTAAAGTGCTTACGTGCTGAGTTCTGCGTCTTCCCTGGCTTCTTGTATCGCTAACGTCCCCAGACAAAACATGACATTCCGTCCGTTTTTTTCTTCCATTCCATGTCCAAGAAATCTAATTAGCCCTTTTTTGAAACGAGTCTCGTGTTCTTAGCATACCTGCTATCCGCAATACATTAATCTTACTCATCTTGTCTGTCCATGCCATAAAAAAACACATTTATGTTGCTTTTAGTTTGCTGCGTAGGATCTGTGTAATGGTACAAACTTCCATAATAGAGGTTTTTGGGTTAGATCGCGTAAATAGAAATGTGTCGTTAAACCCGCCACCACCCGACACAGCCAATTAGTGAGGTTTGTCACGTAACAGAACGTGTAGAACCTTCATAACCGTACATGAGAACAGCCCTGCAGTATGTAACAGTACAGTATTCCACTCCTTGTTCTCACGAATCATTTATTACTTTTGCAATATAGATCCCATTTTCGGAAATGCATCTTTTGCCAATGCTATTCTTCTGTTTATCTCCGTGGCAGTGCTTTCCATCTACAGTTATCCCGCCACCTAAAGCCTTACAATGCTCTGCCTGCTTAACGCCGGTGTCACTCTGACTCGTACCGGACATTCAGGAGTAACTTTCCTCATTGATATGACCATCATGCTACGCAGTTTTTTTTTTTTACAGGTGATTGTTCATCATATGTTTCGACTTTCTAACGTTATTTTATCCAGCTCGTTTAGCAAATCGCTCTCGGCTTCTGCTCTCACACCCTGCTCTAACTCCTCTCCACATGCACAGAAACTCACCAGCCTCTCCCCCAACTCTTAACGGCTGCCGTTAACCACGGTGGCGAGATGTTAACTACATCGCCTGGTATACAGGAGGCCGTGGGTTCGATCGCGACCCTGACGCCTGCTTATTTGGAGTTTGCATGTTCTTCCGGTTTTTTCCTCCACATATAGAAACATGTGTTTCTATTACCTGGTTGCTATGCATTCCCACGTGATAAGCCACTTCGTTGTGACCAGGTCGCTTCTGAAGAAGAGCTCTAATGCCCAGTAGGTCTAACCTGCTATAATAAAAAGTTTAGTCTTTTTTAAATAGGCAAGGCACACTGAGCTATTGAGTTCTTTTTTCAGAAGCGACCTGGCTATCACAAATGATCATCACGTCGACATTTATAGCTGCCAAATAGTCGAAACGGATGTTGATCAAAATGTGGAGGGAAACAGGAGAACCTGGGGAAAAAGCCACGTGACCACGTGGATAGAGACGTGCAAACTCCATTATACCGGCGTCAGGGTCGGGATCGAACCCACGACCTCCTGCATACCAGGCGAGGTAATTAACAACTCACCACCACGGCGCCCAATGTGCTTTCATGGTCACTCTCGGACCTTCTCCATCTGGGTCAGGGGTCAGCTACCTGCGGCTCCGGAGCCGCGTGTGGCTCTTTAAGGGACTGCCGCTTCGTGACCGTTATTTATGTCAGGACCACCACCGTCTCGAATTCACCACGATGCTTTGCGGCATCTTGAAAGTTTGAGTTGTTAATTTTTTAACGAATTCAGAAAAAAATGGCTCTTCTTGTTCTTTTGGTTTCCGACCCCTGGCTTAGATAACAAAAACAATCCCGAGTAATATCATGAATTCTGCATTTTCTCACTTGATCATAAACCCCTGTTTAATCAATAAAACACACCTGCAGTAGCAATATTTCTGAACTCACAATTGCTCGTTCACTCAGCATTCTGTACATATGGCATTGTTTCAATCACAACGCCCCACACCTGTTGTTCCTTTGCAATTTCTGGATGTAACTTATGTCCTTACTCTTTCCACGAACACTCTCAATATTATTTGAGCAATGTAGCTTATTAGACTTGTTGCTCTGTATAATTAACATTCTTCTGCACGAGATTGTTGTGAGAGAGCGATGCATATTAATTTGCCCAGATCGTCTAGGGTCCCCGCGGTGGTGAGATGTTAACTCCCTCGCCTGGTATACAGGAGTTCGTGGGTTCGATCCCGACTCCGACGCCTGCTGCTGTATATCTTTCACTTTGCATGTTCCCCCCGTGCTCACGTGGATTTTTCTCTGGGTTCTGTGGGTTTTCCCTCCACATTTAGAATCAATGTGCATTTAGAGTATGTGGCTGTTTACATTTCCACGTGATAAGCCACTTAGTTTGGCTATCATTTGTGGTCAGGTCACTTCTGAAAAAAAGCTAGAACATTCAGTGGGTCTTACCTGGTGAAATAAAACAAATAGTTTCTAGTAGTTTCTGATATCCATCCCATGTCACAAAGTGCATTCGCTGCTTTTGTCACTTGTTCTATGCCACAATCATCAAGCTCTCTAATAATGTCTACCGATATATAATCTGGTCCCCTGTCGCCTTGCCATCGTGTATGTTCCTGATGGGGCGTCAAAGTTCATGTTTTTAAAATCACCAAGACACCACGAACACAATCGGCAGACGTTTAACGAAAACGTGGAATTTATTTAAAGACCTCTCCAATCTCGATACACTTATTACATCTTTTAAAACTCTCCTCTGTAATTTTTTTTAGTATTATTCGGCTCGTCTACCCAGGAACGCATCACTGAGTCTGAAGACTCGTTTACCCAGGAACGCATCACTGAGTCTGAAGACTCGTTTACCCAGGAACGCATCACTGAGTCTGAAGACTCGTTTACCCAGGAACGCATCACTGAGTCTGAAGACTCGTTTACCCAGGAGGCTCCTGCCAAGGTTTTTTTCGCTGTAAGGGGAACGATTTTGCTGCCGCGTGTGATCCCAGTTGCGTTATGTGCAGGCACGTTTTTCAGCGTGGGGATATTTGGTCGATACGAGTCACATTGCGCGTGGTGGTGGTGGTTTTTGTTGTTGTTTAGCTATGGGAGAAAACCAGAGGACCCCGGGAAATAAACTCAAATGCAGAACCGGGGGGTTGGGGGTGGGGGGGGGCGGACATACAAACTCCACACGGGGAACGATGCCATCCCAAGTCAAAAATCAAAACGCAGTTCCGTTCCGGCTGTGCGAGGTGGCAGGAGCATTTCCACTGAGGAATCGTTTGTCAAAATATTCGGTCATCTGTTGGGAACGACGTCAAGGTATTGCACCTCGCATATTGGGATCAGAATATTTATTTATACCGGCGGTGTCGGGTGGTGGAGGCTTACGACACATTTAGCGATCTAAGCCAAAAACCTTTATTATGAATAATATTGGTCGCAAAAGCCTACGTGTTAAACTCGCTATAAACTTATTTTTCACACATGCCCACTAGGGGCACGGGGTAAGAACGTTACAACAACAAACAATACAAGAACACGATAGGAGTGCAAAATACAAGAAAAGTACAAAAATCACCCAAACACAAACAAATACAACACTAAACCATCCTACCAGGCAAAGCCCACTGAGGTATCAACTTATTTTTCAAAAGCGACCTACCCACGAATGATAGCTCAACAAAGTGTCCCCGTCATTTGGTGGACTCCGAGAGCCACGCGGCACGACCGCGACAACCCACGCAGGACAGTCGGGGCTCGGGGAGACACCAGCGGGGTGTCCATACGCACGTGGATCCGCGTGCACGTTGAAGACGCGTCGCGCTTCAAAACGCGTTGCTTTCGAGAGAAATATTCCTTGGGGGGAAAAAATACACATTGCATTGTATGTGGAGCCTGCGGCTTATTGAAATTAGCAGGGTTGTGGAAAATATTTGTGTGTTTTTTCCCATTACCGATACCTGCGTGAAAATAAAAAAGTTAGACCACGGTTATGGGTTTTGCCGCACGCACGTTGAAATGTTTAGAGCGATTAAAACTAAAGGTCTCTCTTTTCTAACAGATATTTGAAGGGCAGCTGCGACAGTGGTGGTGGGGTAACGGCTGGCACACTGGGTTTGCAATCCAGAGGTCGCCGGTTTAATTCTGAGCCGCCCTTACGAGAATATCTGTCAAACAAAAAGAGCTTCATAGCTCATCAGATTCTCCCTGGGCTAATTAAAGATTCTCATTTAATTTTATTTCCCGGCGTGGTGGTTCAAACACCGGAGCAGGTTTCTTGAACTGCCGCCCTCAACCTCTTGTCTGTCCAGCAGGGGGAATGAGTGCATTCATTTCTCGTGACCAGCAAACCATTTGTCTACTCTGCACTCCGGTCGTTTTTCGTTGTATCGTTTGTTATTGTAACTTGCTGACCCCACCTTACCGGACATCTGGGAGAAAAAAAAAGATCTTCATAGCTCGTCGGATTCCTCCTCCAGTCTCACTGACTACTCTGATTCTGATCTTCCAAGACGTCTGCGCAATGTAGGCGAGTCGGCCGAATAGTGTGGGGGGTGGGTGGGGGGGGCCCTTGCCTGCCATCAGTTGGCATGAGCGAGAGGACAGGCGCTCACAGAGCCGGCGCCTCTCACCTGTCGACCGAGGACCAAAACCGTTCGACCACCATGGCGGGTTCAGGCCTCCGCGTGGGTTTCGTGTGCTCGCGTCTCGGCCAATCGGTGGCATCTTCACAGCGACGACGGCAACAGCAAAGATCCGCTGGAGACGGTTACCGGGCCCCTGACTCTCGGAACTGGTAATCAAATCTGAAATGGTTACTGGGGTTACCGGCTACCATTTGTAACTATGCGAGTAATTAGCTAGCACAGGAGTGCTGTGGTGGCTGTGTGTGTAGTGGTTAGCGTGCTGCGCTACGAACCCGATGGCTTGAGTTCAATTCCTGCTCACTGCTAACACCAAGTGACGATTAGCTGAATGGTTGCTAGGCCTCCCATAGGTTGATTCAGCCTCAAATAAGTAAACATCGCAACTGGGGCATGGTGCTGGCCGCTCACCACCTCGTGTACTGTTCCGGCCTTCATAGGTGCTCGCTAACAGCACTTGCCCCAACAGTTTATTAAAGGTTGTATGGGGGGTTTTTGCCATTGTGTGGGGTGTGAGCTAACTGTGCTGTGTGTCTGTGTGTACCTGCAGAGGACCAGCAGTTTCGGGGGATTTGACCTTTCCGCCCGGGTCAGTGGCTCTACCTCTTCTGATAAGGCGAACTCACCCACCAAGCATGTACGCCACCTGCACCCACTCACCTACCAAGCATGCACCAGCACGCTCTCACACATTCACTCATTGGGTAAAGCCACAGAGAGCCACCGCCCCCGTGCTGTGAGACGGCCGCTGCCGCCCCCAGGGCTCCGTGGCGAGGGGGGACGACTCGACGCTGGACGGTCGCGGGAGCCGACGTGCCGGTGGTGGCGGCGGCGCCGACAGCTTCCTGGGCAAGAAGGTGAAGTCGGTGCGTGAGTCGGTGCGCAAGACGGTCACCAAGCTCACCAAGGCCAACTACGAGGTGCTGGTAAGTGGCCCACACCGACGGCACACCGGGGGCACACCGGGGGCACACAAGCGGCATACCGGGGGCACACCGGCAACACAACCGGGGCACACCGGGTGCGCCGTAAGGAGGGAACGCGTCACAAATGACGTGTCGCTGTAATTGGATAATAGTAATAATGTGAATGTTTAGTTTCATGTATTGGCGCAATGCAAATTGCATCTAACGCCACATCACGCGCAGCTGGAAGACAGCAGCCAAGCAGTGAGCCGGCACTACCAACAGTTGCCCAAGCTCTGCAGTCCCTCGATATATTAAGATGGTTTCAGCCAATGAACGAGGGTTCATGCAATGTGGGAGGAACCTGAAGCATGCGGGGAAACGGTTACAGAACCGCGAGATGATGCCACTCCCCACTTTGCCATACCACCTTCTGGGCAGCTAAGGCTATGGCACCACCACGACGCTCACGGGATGGGAGTTTTTCAACATTCGTGCAGTGGTCCACCAACCCTTGCTGCCTCCTCAGTGCTGGATTAGAGGCCACGTGCATAGCCGCCACCGTCTGGCATTTTTCTTACTTTATCATAAACCTCTGTTTAATCAATAAAGCACACCTGCAGTAGCGATCTTTCTGAACTCACAATTGTCCGTTCACTCAGCATTCTGTAAATGTGGCATTGTTTCAATCACAACGCCACACACCTGTTGTTCCTTTGCAATTTCTGGATGCAACTTATGTCCTTACTCTTTCCACGAACACTCTCAATATTATTTAAGCAATGTGGATTATTAGACTTGTTGCTCTGTACAATTCACATTCTTCTGCACGAGATTGTTGTGAGAGAGCGATGAATATTCATTTGCACAGATTGTCTAGGGTCCCCGCGGTGGTGAGACGTTAACTCCCTCGCCTGGTCAAAGTGAGATGGTTCAGTGACAGTCCTCATATCTCGACTATATTTTTATTTTACCAGGTAAGGCCCCACTGAGCTACGTAGCTCCTTTTCAGAAGTGACCTGGCCACAAGTGATAGGCCAACGAAGCGGCTGATCATCATTACGTGGAAATGTGTCGCAGCCAAATACTCTGAACGCGTGATGTTGATTCTAAATGTGGAGGGAAAAACCGGAGGACCCACAGGGAGAGAGACACGCAAACTCAAAATATACAGCAGGCGTGAGGGTCGGGATCGAACTCGTGACGCTCCTGTACACCAGGCGAGGCAGTTAACATCTCACCACCATGGCACCCTAATTACCGAGGTCAAACTCAACGCAGGTTACCTTTTAGAGAGTACAGGTGCCGCACACGTCACCATCGCGCTACACAACTTTGCTGAACTTGAGCAGGCATCGTCAGGGTCGGGATCGAACCCACGACCTTCCTGTATACCAGGCGAGGTCGTCAACATCTCCCAGCCACCGTGGCGCCCCACGGGGTCAACCCTCCCATTGCCCGGATCAACCTGCGGGCGAGGGGACGCCGCACGAATCTCCACCGCCAATCTCTCCTCTTCCCTCCCTCCTCCCCCCCAAGCCCAAGAGTTCGGACAAGCTGCCGCTGTGCCAGCCGCTGGGCGCGGACGACAGGGAGGGGGGCGCCCACCCAACAGCCCAGCCCGAGGCGGGAGCCCAGCCCACGGGCGACTCCATGGAGAGTCTGCGCAGCTCCTACAGCGGACACAGCTCCAACAGTGAGCGGCACAACGCAACGAGTGGACAGGGCCCCCGCCTCCCTCCGTCCCTCCCTCGTCCCTCCCTCCACGCTGAAAAACTCAAGCGGTGTTTTTTGTTTCACAAATCCCGTCAGCCACGTTGCCTTCGTTCTGGGAGTGCATTATGTATACATTTTCTTGGTTCTGTCGGTCAAGTCACGTAGAAGGGAACAATAAAATTATCACGACGTTTCGACTGCAACACAAGCAATCATCATCAGGTGTGAAATCCAAATTTTCTTGCTGTGGATTTCACACCTGATGATGATTGCTGATGTTGCAGTCGAAACGTAGTGAGAATTTTATTGTTTTATATTAATATTATTTTATTATTTCCCTTCTACATGACTTTACCGAAAGAACCAAGAATATGAATCGCTGCAGTCATGAAAGCTTTAAATCGAAATATGTATACATTGTCGACATCTTCCTTCTGGGAGTGCATTATATATGTAGTCAGTATATTCCTTCTGGAAGTGCATTATATATTATCAATAGAGTTTTTTTTGGGTTAGATCGCATAAATATAAATGTTCCGTTAAACCCGCCACCACCGGACACAGCCAATTAGTAAGGTTTGTTACGTAAACAAAATATGCCAATGTGTTACTAGGACAGCATAGGCTGCCACCTGATGGTGCTGGTTGTAATTACTGGCGAAACGTCGCGGTACTCCAGTTGTAAATGTTGTCAGTTTACTCTCCAACGCACCGGTGTGCTGCACTAGTAATTAATTAGCACGTTCTGTCAACGTGACAAACCTTGCTAATTGCCTCTGTCGGTTGATGGCGGGTTTAACGACACATTTGTATTTACGCGATCTAACCGTATATATATTGGTCGCGAAAGCCTACGTGTTAAACTCATTTGATATATTTTCAGCATCTTCTGGAAGTGCAATATTTTATTGCTATTTTTAGCAGCGTTGGTTTAATGCATCCACACTCTGCACCGATATTGACACTCAGCGGACTCACCAGCAGAGCCAGGCTGGCTTACTCCAATACTGTTGAGCTGTCAGATAGGCAATGATGCTTGCACAGTATCCAACAGAGAGGATCACTCAGCCCATCATAACACTGCCGTATAAAATATACAACTCAGCACGTTCATCAATAGCACGAATTATAGTCGACATTCCAGACGATCGCCCTTCACATTAGGACTTCTTCTTGTGCAATGGAAAAGGGTCATTGCCCAAAACGTCACCTTTTGTGAACGTTTCCTTTTAAGGCCACACAGTGTTAGCGACGAATGTGTGGGATTTGTTGTTGTTGTTCGTGCTTGTGCACCACTGCCGATGTAGCTACATCACCCGATAATTGGTTTCGCTTTGATAATGCTACCATAATAACAGTCGTATACCGCGCACCGGGAAAGAGTCTGCGGTCATGTAGGTTGAATTGCAAGGTTCGCTCCACTGAATGTGTGGATGTGATTAGAAGGCTCCCTTTGGGAGCATGCCAATTCACTTGTATGACTCACCATGCTGCGATATAATTGCAATCGCAAGGCTTTGTCTGTGAGCGTGTACCTGCAAGAGTAAAGCTCTCTCTGCGATCATATCGATGGAATAGCTGGGCTCGCATATCGTACCATACATTGTAGTAATTCCATATCACGAAACCCGAAGGCAGTGTATGTATGTATATTGAACTTTTTTTCGTACCGTACGTAGCCAACCGTGCTAATCGGAGGTGCAGCGGTGGGCAACCTGCGGCCTGCGTGCCGCATGCGTCCCAGAGCCCCTGGTGATGGCCTAGTCCAGGGGTCGGCAACCAAAATAACAAGAAGAGCCATTTCTTTCCAATTCGGTACAAAATTCAGTATTTCAAGAGCCGCAATGCATCTGAGTACATACTGTACTCACGTACATATCGTCAAGAAGCAGCCCGTAAAGAGCCGCATGCGGCTCCGGAGCCGTAGGTTGCCGACCCCTGGCCTAGTCCAAGTGTGTTTGGGCGCGGTGCGTGGGGGTCACGATGAGCAGCGCGGTGTCCAGCGTGCGGCCCACTGGGGGGACGGAGGGCAGCTCGTGTGGCCCTCCGGCTCGTCTGGGTCGCCCACTGCTCCTCTACAGGGGAGGCCAACCGACTCCCCCACCCCGCCCCGCGCCACGCCGTGTGTGTGTGTGTGCGCACCATGTGTGGGTTTGTGCAGCCACGCTGCGTGTGTTTGTGCCGCCACGCTGTGTGTGTGTTGCCATGCCACGCCATATGTGTGTGTGCCACTATGCTGCGTGTGTGCCACTACGCCATGTGTGTGTTTGTGCTGCCACCGCCATGCCGTGTGTGTTTGTGCTTCCATGCCACGCCGTGTGTGTGTGCCACCATGCAGGCGGGCAGACCGTGACGACCTCGGACTCGGGGGGCAGGGTGGACGGCTGCTGCCAAGCGGTGAGCGGCGCGGCCGGCGGCGGCGAGGAGGGGCCCGGCTACTCGGGACCCTTCTGTGGGCGCGCGCGAGTCCACACGGCCTTCACGCCCAGCCCCTACGACAGCGACTCGCTCACACTGCAGGTGGGCATGCTCGCGCCGCGCGCTCGCCCGTTGTTGAGTCTGCACATTGCTGGTGCGCTACGTTTGAGAAAGTGCTGGTGCTGCCCCTTCGGGCAGCAGGGGTCAACGTAGGCGAACTTGGAACGTGCCCGCCTTCCGGTTGAGCAGCCCCAGTCCACGTGCCCATCGCTGGCTGGCCGGCTGGCCAGCTGGGCGGGCAGCCGGCCAACTGGCCGGCCGGCTGACATCGATGGCGTTTAAAGGACGCGTTTGCGATACGCGTTAGCACTCACACCGTACATATCGCAAACGCGATAGAGTGCCCGTGTCCGCTTTCCTTCCCAAAAGCATTTGCAAAAAAAATAAATCTGGATTTTCCTTTTGCTTTGTCCCGATTTAACCGTTCCTGGGAATGGTGATGCCACAGCAGCGTGTAATGGTCTGCACGGTGGATCCTGCCATCCCAGATGTCGCTAGTTTCGATCCGATTGTATCGTCCAGCACGGCGGTTGAAATAACAGCGCAAGTTTCTCAATCCCGCCGACGCCTCTGCACGCTCGCCCGTGTACGTAGCCAACCGTGACAATCGGAGGTGCAGGGGGGAAGGACAACAAACTAAACACGAGAAGCAGCTCTAAAGAAATGCGTTTTGAATCTAGATGATTTAAAAGTGCATAGCTCCAGTGGCTTCCTAATATCTGGAGGAAGATTGTTCCCGGCGGTCAAAATACTTTCCGCAGGGGCTGTCTAGAGGCGCTCTCTTTCCGAAGGCCCTTCCATCAGCAGTTGACACGGGCAAGTCCTTGCAGCGCTGCGCCTTTGTTCCCCATTGTCACCTACACACGACACACATCTTTGCTGTCTCTCTCTGTTCTTCCTCCTCCTTGCACTCAATCGATGCTTTCGCTCTCTCTCTCCTCGCCCCTTTTCACTGGAACAAACTTCCCCTCCACGTTAAGCAGTCACCTTCGCTCACTAGTTTCCGCTGCTCACTCAAAACTCACTTATTTTTCGATTTAAAGCTTTCGTGACTGCAGAGATTCATCTTGTTGGTTCTTTCGGTAAAGTCACGTAGAAGGGAAATAATAAAATCATAAAAATAAAACATAATAAAATAAGCCTTGTCAAGGCACACCTTCCCCCTCCTACCCAGCTTAAATATTCGCTCCAAGCCTGGGGCGTGTCATTCAGACTCTGTCTTCCCAACAGACCTGTTTCTTCACCTGAGGACGGCTGCTTGCGTTGTGGCCGAAACGTCGTGAGAATTATTTTATTATGTTTTATTTTTATTATTTTATTATTTCCCTTCTACGTGACTTTACCGAAAGAACCAACAAGATGAACTCACTTATTGTTCCCTAGCTCACCCGACAAGCCCATAATCTCCCCTTCATAATCACTGCCACCGTTACTGTTCCCTCTGCATATCCCCATCATACGGCTGTCACTCATTCACCCCATTCATTCAATCCTTGTGTCATCATTTACTGCCATCATCAATGTCGCTTCCACCGAATTCACGCACCACCACAGATTTTCCCCCAACGCTAACCTCTCATCTATTTCATTCACCTCTTCTCCACCGTTACACTCACACACACGCGTAGCGCCGCTCTTAATTCTTGGTAAAGCGCCTTAGCGAAGGCGCTCGATAAACTCCGCGAAGATCAGACCAGATGGGCGGGCGCCGCGTGCACCGCTCGACGCGTCCTCCTCAGCTCCGTTGTCCGCGCTGCTTCCGCGCCTCGCAGAAGGGCGACGTCATCGACGTCATCAGCCAGCCCCCGATGGGCACGTGGATCGGGCTGCTCAACCGCAAGGTGGGCACGTTCAAGTTCGTCTACGTAACTGTGCTGCCCGAGGGCGAGACCAACAACAACGACAACGACGCTGCGGGAGCCGGGCGCAAGGCCCGCCCGAGGCCCAAGCACCGTCGGCCCAAGCCCAAGACGGTGGAGGAGCTGCTGCACAGGATGCACCTGGAGGTGAGGGGGCTCCCCCCACCCCCCCACCCCCCACCCCCCACCCATTTAGAATGCATAGGGGCACGGTGGTGAGATGTTAAAAGTGAATGAGTCCTCGTCATTCATTGCCGTACTCAAGTTCAGCAAAGTGGTGTAACGCGATGGTGACGCGTGCGGCACCCATACTTTCTAAAAGGTAACCTTGCGTTGAGTTTGACCACAGTAATTAGGGCGCCATGGTGGTGAAATGTTAACTGCCTCGCCTGGTGTACAGGAGGGTCGCGAGTTCGATCCCGACCCTGACGCCTGCTGTATATTTGGAGTCTGCGTGTCTCTCTCCCCGTGGTCGCGTGGATTTTCCTCCGGGTCCTCCGGTTTTTCCCTCCACATTTAGAATCAACGTCATGCGTTCAGAGTATTTGGCTGCTATGAATGTCCACGTGATGATGAGCCACTTCGTTGAGCTATCGTTTGTGGCCAGGTCAGCTCTGAAAAAGAGCTACACAGCTCATTGGGCCTTAACTGGCAAAATAAAAATAATTTAAAATGTTGTTTAACCCAGGTGAGCACTCAAAGAGACCAGGATGAGTGACTCGGACCACGGGCATTAGTTTTCCAGGAGAGAGCGATGGTTGCTGCTCCTGTGTACGTGTAATACCGTTGACGACTCTTGACGCCGGAGTTGGAGGCACACGGGTTTATTTCACAGCACAACAGTGGGCATATAACACGCGAGGGGGTATCGGCCCCCTCACCCGGCTAGCTGGGAATACACACGCTAGCTACCCTAGCCTGCCTCTTAGTCCTCCACTAACGGGCTAGGGGAGGCTATCTGGCCGACACTGGTAAGTCGGGCCCGGTACCCGGAGTCCCAGACCTGCTCTGACAAGAGCACCGGCTCTGGCTCTCGGAACCACGCCGCTGGCTCGATCCTGTTTGGCCCTGATAAGGACGTCGAACTAGGGGAGTCCAGGGCTCTAGCTAAGATGTCTTCAGTCTTCTCGTTAGCTTAACATTTCCCCCCGAGCCCTCTGACACATCCCCTTTTATACTCAACCCCCGCTGAGGGGTGGGGCCCCGGGCTGCCCGGTGCGGACGTCGTTGAGAGCACCCCCCCGTGCACTCACGTAGCCCCGCCCACTGTGTTTGTTTCCCATAAGCTGCCATGCATAACGGCTCTCTCTCTCTAACACCCCTACATCCGTGATCCCAATTGAGTCATCTGCTGGAGGTAACCTTTTTTTTTGCCAGCACCCGGGTTAGTGTCATACTTAGAAGTAGACCTGGGTCGCCAAAACGACAGGCCCTATGCTGTGAGCACCACGTGCCGAACGGGGACAGCTGCCACTGGGTGTGCCCCTAGGCTGGGCTTACACAGCAGCAGCAATCATCCCGACTCACCACTGGAAGCAGACTAACGCACACACAGGGACAGCTGCCACTGGGAGTGCCCCTAAGCTGGGCTTACTGAGCAGCAGCAATCATCCCGACTCACCACTGGAAGCAGACTAACGCAACACACAGGGACAGCTGCCACTGGGTGTGCCCCTAAGCTGGGCTTACACAGCAGCAGCAATCATCTCTACCCATCACACTGGCAGCAGACTAACGCACACACAGGGACAGCCGCCACTGGGGATGTCCATCCTGGCTAGACCGTAACGGAGCGCGGGAGATGAGCTGTCGACGTCAAGGCGTTGACCGAGTCTCTGGGGGACTTTGAGAGAGTTTTAATACGTAGTAGTAGTAGGGGCTTTCGCGACCAATATTATTAGCAATAGAGGGGTTTTTTTTGGGTTAGATATCGTGAATATAAATGCATCGTTAACCCCCGCCACCACCCGGCACGTAAACAAAACGTGCCAATTAGTGACTATCTTCTTGGTTCTTTCGGTAAAGTCACGTAGAAGGGAAGTAATAAAATAATAAAAATAAAACATAATAAAATAATATAATAATATTTTATTATGTTATATTTGTATTATTTATTACTTCCTTTCTACGTGACTTTACCGAAAGAACCAAGAAGATGAATCCCTGCAGTCACGAAAGCTTTAAATCGAAAAAAATTTAGTGACTACTTCAGCACACCGGTGCGTTGTCTGTTTGCATGTTTTACCACAAGTATGCGCGGTTAATGCAGACTTGACGCCTTGCAGAAGGTGTCTGTTTGGTATTGGAACATCTGAGCACCTGCTCTATTTCCAGAAAGGGTAAAACCAATTCTTAGTTTCGATCATTCTTAATACTGGAAAGAAGATCCCATAGATTCAAAAAAACCCCACAACGTTCACGATCCGAGCACCGTAATGTTTCGGCGGTGAACGCAACAGCAACCGGCTTCACCGGGCGATTTCGCAGAATTTGTGAAGAAGCCCTCCCTAGGTTCGGTCCTGAGCAGGAGAGGGGCCTATTCGCGCGAACGTAGCGTTGCGTGTGCGTTGTGTGTGCGTTGCGTGTGCCTCGCGTGTGGGGCACGCAGGAGTACATCTCCACGTTCCTGCTCAACGGCTACGAGGACCTGGACACGTTCAAGCTGCTGGAAGGCGAGGATCTGGACGAGCTGCTCATCCACAACGCCGAGCACCGCGCCAAGCTGCTCACCGCCGCCGAGCTCCTGCACGACTACGACCGTGAGTGCGCCCCACAAGCCGCCCCCCCCCCACACTCCTCCCCGGCCGGCAGATAAAACGAGTACCGCTTTGCGGGAGACGCGACAGCTGTCGACAAGCCATAAGCGAAAAACTAAAAAGTAATAAAGGGCCCACCGAGAACAGGCCCAGACGCGGCCTCCAAAGCGGCGAGCAGCAAATGGCAACGGGCAGGGGTTGTTACCGATCAAAGTGGAAACGGCGTTTTTTTTTTTGAGCAGGGTTCATATTCTTTGGGTCTTTCGGTAAAGTCACATAGATAGGTTCAAAGAAAATAACAAAAAAAAAACTACGACGTTTCGATCGCAACACAAGCGATCGAAACGTCGTAGTTTTTTTGTAATTTTCTTTGAACCTATCTACGTGACTTTACCGAAAGACCCAAAGAATATGAATTCCTGCAGTCACGAAAGCTTTAAGTCAAGATTTGAGCAGGGTTGTCCTAGTGAGAGCGTGGGAGCAACGAGACGATGGGAGAGGGAACTCCAAAGTGGACGCCTGCTGTATATTTGGAGCTGGCGGTGTCTCTCTCTCTCTGCCCGTGTTCACATGGATTTTTCTCCGGGTCCTCTGGTTTTTCCCTCCACATTTAGAATCGGCGTGCGTTATGAGTATTTGGCAACTGCTCTCCATTTCCACGCGATAAACGACTTCGTTGGGCGATCATGTGTGGTCAGGAGCTCCATAGCTGAGTGGGCCTTACCTTGTAAAATAAACATAGTTTAATAAAATAGTTTAGTTTTGATTCGGTCGGATGTCAACCATGGTGCTAATGTTCCGCATATCTGCCGGAGAGTCGCGCTGCATCTCAAGCCATCGTCACGAGGATGCCGCTTTGGTTTCGGGCTCGACGTTGCAAAGACGTTCCGTCCGCTGACACGCGTCCCTCTCTCTCTGCATGTGTGTGTGTGTGCGCGTTGTGCGCACGCACTGGCAGACGTGCCGACTACCCACAATGCAGCGGAGGCGAAGGAGGCAGGGGGCGGCACTGCCGCGCCCGCTGCCGCCGAGGAGGAGTCGCCGCGGGACTCGGGCTGCTACGAGAGCTCCGAGCCGCTGGACTGGCCCCGGTAGGGAGGAACACGGTGGGCAAGCCGAGGCCTCTGCCGATACGGCCACGGAGCTGTGACCGCCCGGGTTCCGAGCCCTGGCGCTGGGTGTCTCCTCTCTCTCTTTTCTCTTTTCAGTGGGTTCACAACAGCCGGTGCTGAACTGGCAAACGTTCACGACCGGTATCATTCAAGGTCGGTTTGTTTTGGGTTAGGTTGTGGCAGGCTTTGATTACGAGTTGGATTCCTGCTCACGTCCAACACCAGTGACGATTATCTGAACCGGTCCTGGGCCTCTCCTAGGTCGACTCAGCCGCAAATTAGTTCCTGGTGCGGTCTGTGAAAACATCGCCACTGGGGAGACAAAGGCGGCCAGGTGTATGTGCTGCCCACCCACCCCCTAGTGTGCCGCGCCAGGCTTCATATGTGTTTGCTAACAGCACTTGCCCCAAAAGTCTGTTCAGGCTACACTGGGGGATCTTTGTCTTTTATGCATGTTGAACTTCTTTCGCACCATACGCAGCCAACAGCGCTAATCGTAGGTGCGGGGGAAAGGACAACAAATGAAACACAGTGTCACGATGCGTCGGTTGATCGATCAAAATCTATTCGTTACGCTCGCTATGCTTGCTGTTGAAGCCATGTGTATATCTGACCGTTTGATTATTCACGATTTCAAGGCACATTATTGGCTAAGGGTATATTTATCCCAATGGGTCGAACAAAACTTCATGGGATACAGAGAGAAAAAAATAAAAGAGACTATACACATTAGATGGTAAAACTGAGATAGAAAAAGTGTTATGTCATTGATTTCCTGGAGTGCATCGGTCGTAAATGGTTACATGCTACGAGCCAGCAACCTCTGAAAGTCTCGGTTCAAGTCCCGAGCCTCGGTGCCTTTCACGGCTCTCAGGAGCTGAGGCTAACGCGGCTTTGGTTTGGCAGAATGAGGCGATGCTGTCGTTGAGACCAGCTCTCCTCCTCTGGCGTGCCTGAGTCTCGCACGTCCATGTCAAGCCGTGGCCATTGTGTTCCCGTGACCTAAGTCACGTGAAATGACACGCCAGGTCCAGCGTAGCTAGATGCCGCCCCTCAACCGGCGCTTTCAAGATCTGGTCGGATGATCACGCGGACGTCATCGTCTGCCGGGAGACGTCCAACCCTCTGAGCTGGAATGTGATGGGTAGTTTCGTAGTTCGAAAAGTAGGTTAGCAGGCTGTCTGTGTGGATTCTTCAGTGTTGTGCATTGCGGTTTGCTCGCCGCGCGCTATGAATTTGTAAACTTGAGTTACATTCCTGGCCACGGCAATAGTCCATGTGGAGTAACATCTGAACTAGCATGTCACAACATGGTCACACAACCCCCGTGATCAATGTAGCTCGGGGAGGCTGTTAGTTAGTGTTGAGGGTTAGTGTTGAGGCTGTGGGTTTGTGTTAAAGCTGTGGGTCAGTGTTGAGGCTGTGGGTCAGTGTTGAGGCTCTAGGTCAGTGTTAAAGCTATGGGTCAGAGTTGAGGCTGTGGGTCAGTGTTGAGGCTGTGGGTCAGTGTTGAGGCTGTGGGTCAGTGTTGAGGCTGTGGGTCAGTGTTGAGGCTGTGGGTCAGTGTTGAGGCTGTGGGTTTGTGTTAAAGCTGTGGGTCAGTGTTGAGGCTGTGGGTCAGTGTTGAGGCTCTAGGTCAGTGTTAAAGCTATGGGTCAGTGTTGAGGCTGTGGGTCAGTGTTTGGGCTGTGGGTCAACGTTGAACCTGGGGGTCAGTGTTGAGCTGTCGGTCAGTGTTTAGGCTTTGGGTCAGCATTGAGGCGACATCGATGCATCACAGCCTGGTATCCTCATGAGCCACTGGGGCCCTCCGTGGTCCACACCACCAGTGTTTGTGACGCAGCGAGTCGAGCAGTGATAACCGCAGGGACGCCGCCGGAGGGCTCTAGGTTGGCGCTTTTGAAACGTTTGCAATGTAGCAACAGCAGAACAACTAAAACTTGCAACCAACTAAAACTTGCAACCAACTGAAACTCCCAAACAACTAAAACTCCCAACCTTAACTAAAACTCCCAACCAACGTTCATCGTTAACAACACCCTTGGCCTTGCAAAGAAAAAGTACCCACTCCAGCCTCACAGGTGGCCGTGAAGAAGGCCTATTGACCGAAACGTCTCCTTAACAGGGACTCCTCTATTTACGAACATTCGACTTACAAACTTTCAGAGGTACGACCAAACTGTCCCTATCCAGCTGCCTGTTTGGACCGAGGGTCGTAAGTTCAACCGCCGTGCAATAGATGGCGGTGTTTGTCGGCCGTCAAGCACCGACTTCTTTGAGTCTCATGACCCACACACTGGAAGGTTTGCGAAGGTGTCGGCAGCTGCTCACGATGCTGTCGCCTGTCACAAGTTGGTTGGTGAAGAGAAAAAGAAGAGAGCGACTGTGCAGACATCTCTTGGTAAGTTTTTCAAGAGAGTAGAGAGGAATCGCGAGCACCAAAGGGAATTAGCATTTACATCTGCAGAACGAGAAGAACCAGTGGAATCTACAGCTGCAGAACGTGAAGAACCAGTGGTATCTACAGCTGCTGAACGTGCAGAACTAGTGTCATCTACATCTGCAAAACGTGAAGAACCAGTGGTATCTACAACTGTAGAACGTGAAGAACCAGTGCCATCTACATCTGCAGAACGAGAAGAACCAGTGGAATCTACAACTGCAGAACGTGAAGAACCAGTGGCATCTGCATCTGCAGAACATGAAGAACCAGTGGTATCTACAACTGCAGAACGTGAAGAACCAGTGGCATCTGCATCTGCAGAACATGAAGAACCAGTGGTATCTACAACTGTAGAACGTGAAGAACCAGTGGCATCTGCATCTGCAGAACGTGAAGAACCAGTGGTATCTACAACTGCAGAACGTGAAGAACCAGTGGCATCTGCAGAACATGAAGAACCAGTGGTATCTACAACTGCAGAACATGAAGAACCTGTGGCATCTACAGCTGCAGAACATGAAGAACCAGTGACATTTACAGCTGCAGAACGTGAAGAACTAGTGGCATCTCCATCTGCAGAACACGAAGAACCAGTAGCATCTACAGCAGCAGAACATGAAGAACCAGTGGCATCTACGTCTACAAGAGAGTAAACAACTTTTGAAGCCATTCCTCGTGTTGAATGTACACGCCGTACACAACATTTGGAATCGACATGAGTAAATTTGAACTTACGAACAATTCGACTTACAAACAGACCTCTGTAACCTAACTCGTTCGTAAGTAGAGAAGTCCCTGTATATATATATTTTAGTAATGTTTTTAAATTGCTTTATTTAGTGTAATTTTTATTTATATATTTTTTTATTCTAGTTACATTTTTAATTTGATTACTTTTTAAATTGTATTATTTTAAATAGCACTCGTGCACCACTGCCAACGCAGCAGCGTCGCCAGATGAACTCTTCAACTTTCACAATGTAGTCCTTTTATCTCAACATTGAACAACGTGTCATTTGAAACGTCTTTGCCATTCAATCGTCACGACAATGCCACAATGAAAAGCGCGTTTAATCAGTGACGACTGTGTCATTGGCGCGTAATAAAAAAAATAATAAGGCAGTTATGCTTGTGTGTCATCACGATCCATTGGCAGATAGCCCCGTAGGTGTCCACTGCACATTTCGTTATTTTTGTTTTCACTTTCCTTTGTCTTGTTGTTAATACGCTCAAGTTGTGGCCACATCTTTCTTGCACCGATCTCTGACGATGTCGTCGTCAATCCACTCTCTGTTAGAAGTTTTCTTCTCTTTCTGGTTCCCTCCATGATTCCGAACAACAACAACAGCACACTTTAAAATTTTTCCTGTTGTTGTCCATCCTACATACGTTTCCAAATAGTGCCAATAATTTACAATAACTTTTTAACCATTTCTCACCACAGTTGAAAGCGTTAAAGCATGAGCACCGTCCGTCCGTCTGTAACGTGGAGTCGCGGTGACTCTCGTAGAGACGATCCGATACGGACAAAAAATGAGTGTTGAAGTTGGGTGGCTTTTTGGGACTCATCCTGGAGAAAAGCGGACACATTGGTCGCAGGGTTAAAAAAGGAAACAGTGCTAAAAGGATTTGCCTTGCCGGTCAAGGCGATGGTATAATTACGTGTGGCATGGTGATATGATGTCATTGCGCATACCATCATATCTTGCGATGCCACACATGACCAATGGTTGTATTACATGTGACTTGGTGAGATGATGTCATTGCGCATGCCATCATATCTTGCGATGCCAGACGTCATGTGACATGTGACGTCATGTCGTTTGTGCGGCCGGGAACGTACATCACAATTATCGCCCCTTTTAAACAAGGGCACGCACGCAAGTTTGGAAAGCATTTCAGAATCCATGCGGCCGCGTGATTTTTATTCCTTGGTCATATTACGCTACATTTTAGGCGTCTGAAAAAAACAAGTGCATTATGTGTTTGACATTTATATCAAATGAGGTATTGATTACATTGAAAATGAGAGTGCACTAATCAATCTCAACCAGCCTAGTGTTATGCTTACATGAAGAAGACACAGTTGAGTGTTTATATAAAAATACATTCTAAACTGTCTCCCTCGGAGTGCTCATCTCCATTGCTCACCGAGTGATGGCAATGTCCATCTGGAATTCGGTGGCAGAGTGGCAGAGTGGTGGTGATGCTCGCGCCTCATGGCAAGAGGACCCTGGGTTCGATTCTCGACTCGGACACCTTTCTGCGTGGAGTATGTGTGTTCTCTCCCTCTTCTGCACCGTGTGAGCGCGTGTGTGAGTGTGTGTTAGCTCACTACATAAAATGCAGCAAGTTGGCACAGTAGGGGGCACAGGTGGAGCATCTGCTAGTCATCTCAGTCAACGCATGGCACCTGGATCTGTCCCGTGACCTGTCAGCGAGCCTTCGACACTTCACGTGGCCTCAAAGTGCACCTGACCTGGCACAGGCGCCGTGGTGACGTCACCGTCACTTAGTGGCGGGTGAGACTGTGAGTTAGACTGTGAGTTAGCGCGCTGCGCTACGAACCTGGTCACCCAAGTTCGATTCCTGCTCACGACCATCACCAGTGGCAAATA